TAGATCCCCTTGATTTTATAGATTTTGATAGATGTGTCCATTGTATCAAGGAAAAAATATAAACATTAAAAGATTCGATGCCAACAGGGCTATACACGTATTAAAATTCATTCATACAAATATTTGTGGACTGTTCCCTATGATTTCCTGGAATAATCATAACATTCATAAATGATTATTTCATATATAGCTACTTATATCTCATTCATGAAAAGTCTCAGTCCATGGATGTGTTTAATGGTTTTAAAGAAAAAGTTGAGAACTAATTCAATAAAAGGATTAAGGCTGTTAGATCTGATCGTGGTAAGGAATACTATAGTAAATCTGACGGATTAGGTGAATAGCGTCCAGGGTTGTTTGCTTGATTCTTAGAGGAATGTGGTATCCTCCCACAATACACCATATCAGGTTCTGATAGCATGAATGATGTTGCTAAAAAGTGAAACAAAACACTTAAGGATATGGTGAGAAGTATGATTGTCATTCTACCTTACTTAAATCACTCTAAGGAGAAGCATTAAATACCATAACATATTTACTCAACAAAGTTTCAACTAAAACAATTACACATACCCCTTATGAGCTTTGGATGGGTAAGAAGCCTAGTTTGAGACATTTACACATTTGGAGATGTCCAGTTGAGGCTAGACCTTATAGACTACAGGAAAAGAAACTAGACTCTGTTAGTTACTATTTTATTGGTTATTTTAAATGATTCAGGGGTTATAAGAAGCAAATCTAGATTAAGAAAATGTTATTGTATCTCTCATTCATATTCAGAAAACTATTACTGAAGCACAAAATTCACACCCTCAAGAACCTATGTCATTAAGGAGATCCACTAAAGAGATGAGAAATACAATTTCAAATAATTATATTGTATTTTTCCAAGAACATAAGCTTGACATTAGTATAGTAGAAGATGATCCTATCAACTTTCTGTCAAGCCATAGAAAGTTTCAACTCACAAAAGTAGATTGATGTCATGAATGAAGAGATAAAGTACATGAAGGATAATGACGTTTGGGATCTTGTCCCATTATCAAAGGATACAAAACCCATTAGTTGCAAATAGATATTTAAGATCAAGAGGGACTCAAAAAGTAATGTAGAGAGGTACAAGTCTCATCTTGTCACTAAGGGCTTCATACAGAAAGAAAACATCGATTATAAAGAGATTTTCTCTCCGATTTCATCGAAAAACTCTTTCAAGACTATAATGGTTTTAGTGACACATTTTAATTTTGAGTTACATCATATAGATGTTAAGACAGTGTTTCTCAATGGTAACATTGATGAGATAATTTATATAAAAGACTTTATATTCGAAGATATAAAATAAATGGAGTTCATGAAGGATAATGACATTTGGGATCTTGTCCCATTATCGAAGGATGCGAAAACCATTAGTTGCAAATGGATATTTAAGATCAATAGAGATTCAAAAAGTAATGTAGAGAGGTACAAGTCTCATCTTGTCACTAAGGGCTTTATACAGAAAAAAGGCATCGATTATAAAGAGATTTTTTCTCCGATTTCATTGAAAAACTCTTTTAAGACTATAATGGTTTTAGTGGTACATTTTGATCTTGAGTTACATCATATAGATGTTAAGACAGCATTTTTCAATGGTAATATTGATGAGATAATTTATATAGAAGACTTTATATTTGTAGATATAAAACAAATAGTTTACAAACCAAAGAAATCCATCAATGGAGTTAAGTAGGTTTCTCGTCAATGGTATCACAAATTTTATCAAGTCGTCATTTTGTTTGGTTTTGAGATGAATTTAGTAAAAGATTGTGTATATCACAAGTTCAATGGGAGTATGTATATTTTTCTAATTTTATATGTCGATCACATGCTGTTTGCTAGTAGTGATATAGAGTTATTGCAAGAAACCAAGAGATTTTTTATAAAGAAATTTGAAATAAAAAATTTTCAGGACGCTTCTTTTATATTAGGAATTCAAATACACCAGGATCGCTATCAGGATATTCTTGAATTATCACAAAGGAAGTATATCGAAAATGTCCTTAAAAGATTTACCATGTTGGATTATCAATCACGTGACTCTTCTGTGTCTAAAAGAGACAAGTTTACTCTAAATTAATGCCCCTAAGAATGACTTAGAGACTACGGAGATGCAAAATATTTCTTATACTTCAGTTGTAAGGAATCTTATATATGCATAGGTTTGTATTAGTTCAGATATTGTCTACATTATTGGGATGTTAGGTAGATATTTAAGTAACCTAAATATGGATCATTAAAAATTAATCAAACATGTCATGCAATATCTACAGAGAATAAAAGGTTATATACTCACATATAAGAGATCATATCAATTGGAGATCATCGATTATTCTGATTCTGATTTCGTTGGATGTTAAGACAACAAAAAATCTACATCGTGCTATATCTACTTGCTTACTGGGAGAGCTATTTTCTGGAAGAGTGCTAAGCAAATACTTATAACCTCTTTTACTATGGCAATAGAGTTTGTAACTTGTTATGAGGCATCCAATCATGAAATATGGCTGTAAAATTTTGTCACTAGATTGCGTATTGTTGATAGCATAGAAAGACCTTAAAGTTATTTTGTAACAATAAATCTACAATTATG